GGTGTCCCTGCCCGTGGCAGGGGGTGGCACTGGATGGGCTTTAAGGTCCTTTCCAGCCCAAACCATTTTATGATTCTATGATTCTGCAAAAAAAAAAAACAAAGGAAAGGAAAAAAAAGAGAAGATTTTATTCCCCTTCCCACAGCTAGAATATGTTAACTGAAATCAACAGTAAGATTTTAAAAGAGGGATTCAACACTTTAGCGTGTTCCATTGCTTACTTGTTTATGCATTTTAATTGATTCCTCACCAAATCTCCGTCAGTCAGGCATAGTTTTTAGGCAGTTATTCATCAGTCATGGTTAGGCCATTCTGTCTTTGCAACTTTGGGCAGAAAGTCAAAGAAAATAAATATATTCAATCATACACACTCTACAAGAGACCTAGCATTTTGTATGGTAGGGAGCCAAAGGAGTCTAGCCACTGATTTCTAGACCTCACAGAAGAGAAACAACCTGCAGTGGAGTCATCAGATCCTTAACATCTTGGTTCCTGGGAAAACTTACATTTTTCTGGAAGATCTGAAATGAAGAGAGAGCGAGCTGTACAACTGCAGAGCTTTTCTGGTAGCTAGGCATGCCAGTCCTCCATCAGTATCCCCTGGCTTCTGTGTCTGTCTCTGTACCGAGATGGTGTCAAACCTGAAAACGTCCACAGAGGACATTTAGCTTTGATAAAGCAAGCTCCCTTTTCAAGATCCGTCAGTAGGTGTTGACAAGTCAAGGTGTGCCAGGTTTTTCACACAAGATGAATCTCTTCCTGTAAAGTTTAGTATTCAAGCAGTAGAAGAAATAAAAATATTTCCAGTAATTCTGAATTTGTTCGCTGTTTGAGTTAAGGAGATTAGATTCTACAAAGCACAGAGCAGGAGTGAAACTACAGGTAGAAGTCTCTCTGCTTCTCTCTGCTGGTCCAAAATCCAATGCAGCTGGTATCAATTAGCATAATCATGGGCTATTCTAATGTGCAGCAGCCTCTGAGGTGCTTAGTAAGAAATACTTTGAAGTACAGAACAACCAGACCTTCTTTCCTTCTTCAGCTGCTGTTCCTTTTGCAGCTATATGCTAGCAGTTGGGTGTGGAAGAAAACAGTGTGGGGCAGGTCGATGTTGGGGCTAGCACTTTCATGGTTTGTTTATGTCACAAGCAGTGCTGGAGAATAAACCCCTATTCCTTTAATTCCTGTTCTGATAAGAAAATAAGTTCAAGGAATAGAATTGCAGATTGTCAAGCTTCCCAGTGAGAACATCCGTGTTTGGTAAGCCATGCCACCTAGTGCCAGCTCACGTGGATATAGCAGCTGGAACAACGTGGCTGTATTTTGTGGGACTGCGCCTGAGCTGATAAATCCTCTTTCTTGGCTTGAGTTACTCTGCCCTACACTTTTGAATCTGAGTCAGACTAAATCCGGGGAGCAGACATGGCCCAAACCCATGGTTTTGTGATCGTGCCCCAGAGCTCTACCTGCACAGATTTCAACAGCATCTCACACATTTCATATTCTGTTCTTTCTGGACTGAGACAAGCAGCTTAAATGGCAATTCTTGGTGCTGTTTAGGTGCAGCTGCTGAACCTTTTCTCAGGGGAGCAGTTTTCTTTCCCTGCACATCGGTGGCTAGCCTGGGACCAGGCTGATGGGGGAATATCTATGGAGCTTCCTGTTTTACAGCTGGGTCAGCCCATTCTTCCAGGTGAGCACAATGCCACATCAGCTCGGTCAGGCCACAGACTGATGCTGATAGAGGTGAGTCCATTGCTTTCTCATCGGGCCCTCAATTACTTTTTAGCTGCTACAACAGTTTTTCTGGGTTGTTTTCCTGTGGTTACTGGGCATACTCAGGTAAAAGGTTAAGAGTCCCTGGAAAGGAGATGGGTCAGTCTTTAATGCTTTGAATTTCACAGGTTCTTCAAAAAGACTTATTTGGCAAGATTTTCAGCATTTGTGCTTGCTTTAAATAGAGGCAATAGTAAAGACATCTCACATGTGCATAACTACCGTGAAGCCATTGTATATGAGTCAGATCACAAACTCTATTTTCAATTACTGAGGATTTTAGCACCAGTATGACTATTGCAGCTGATATTTTAGTTTCTTTATTGTAAGTTGCTGGGACAGGCTTCCAGAAAACTTTTAATTTCTGAGTGTGGAACAAAAATTTAACAATATTTCAGAAGGCTATAAGTGCTAAAATATCCATTATTCACATAAAGATTTTATTGTAATTCTAAAGGTGAATGATACCAAACAATACAAAAAATATTGGGTGTTGCTGCTGTTCTACTGTCCCAGTGTCCTGTTCTACCACACCACTCCCTGTCACCCATGCTGTATGCTTTTGCTCTATGGTTTCTCTGCTGCAGCAATGGGAAAGGGGTGGAAAGTCTGTACTTGTTCTTCCCTTATCTCCAAATGGCATTGTTCTTTCTGGCCTAAGGAAGCTACAAGGGCATAGCAAGATCAGTGTATCCTAGGAGAGATGTGGGTGAGGGAGCAGAGTGCTGGTGCAGATTCCCATCCTGTAGGGTGTGACGGCAGAGGGGGAGAAGTTATTACTTGTTCTGGAGCTTTCACTAGCCACCTGGGACAGATTCCACAGCCTCCTCTCTTCCCTTCCCTAAAAAATCATATCAGCTGCAGAGGACAAAATTAATGGGATGAGAGCAACTTCCATTCAAAGTTCTCTAAAAACTACAGAACCTCTTTTTCAGAATGTTTAATACTACAGCAATGCTTGGTGGTATGCTGATGGTACTCTGTGTTGATCTTGCAAAGTTGAAATGGTAACAGGCATTTCAATGGTAACAGCTGTTGTGGGTGCGGGCTAGAGGAAGAGAATAGAAATGAAACTGAGGGGCTGAAGTCCAGAAAATGGCACATTTTTTGGGGAAATTTTCCAATTGTTTGTGGGGAAACAAACCATGGGACAGTCACTCTCTTAATAAAGAGCTGGGTGGCCTGAAACTGTATTTATGCCTATCTATGATGACTGAGCACTGAGATTAAGGACCTGAAAAGAAGAGCAGAAAGGTTTGTACCTCATTAATATGTCTTAGAGAAAAAGAATAGCAGGAGAGACTTCCTCTAGTGATGTAGTTAGCGGCTGTAAACAGCTCATAAAATTCTGTAGAGAGCGGCTGGACAGCCCTAACCACAGTGATTTTTGATCTTGAGTGGTTATGATCTTTATACCCTTGAGGCATGAAAAGCCTCGGAGGCAGTCAGCCTGCTTCCTCCTGGGTTTGGTCTCTTTGGTCAGGAGACTTTAATATTATTACTGTACGGGGACATACAAGCACAGTAGTATAAAAACCACCCCCCACCCCAAAAGGTTAATTAAATGTTAATTAATGAACATTAACTTGCTATATTGAATACTCCCAATTCCCCTACTTTCAGCACCTGTTCTTCCCCAAATGTTCTCTCGCTTAATATTCTGGAACCCTGACCTTACCCACCTTCAAATTTTCAGGCTCATCTTTCTGAGTAGGTTATTTCCTTATTTCTGAAATAAGTTACCAGATAATCTTGGTGCATTGTAAGGCACAACAGCACACTTCAACCAGCCTCCCAAACTGCATTGTGCAGTTAACAATTTCCCCCTCGCACAAGAGAGGGAGAAAAGAACTGTGTGTTTCTGCCAGCCTCAGTATAAGAGAGGCCATGCTGCAGGCTTTGGAGAAGGCAGCTTCATCTCTAACTTGGTAATTGAAAGACAGCCCCTGTGTCTTTTTGCCAATATTATATTTCTGCATGAGACAGTGAAAAGAGAACATCGCTTTTAACTTCAGAGAGGATGGTTTGATAACAGAACAGTGAAGAGGTCTGGATTCAACCTGAAAGAGATGATGAGAGACACTTTAAAACCAATTTTTGAATAAAAAGAGGCTGAAACACTTTCTGATTTAACAGCATGTTTTATTCAAAGGGAAAAACGTCTGAATTAAACTGTTAAGAAGTATTACATAGAGCCTTCATGGCTCTAATTCTGGGGGACTGCGCACGCCTTTCGTTCAACTTTTTATCCTCAACCATCCTACTTTTGTCCTCCTCTGCTGATGTTTTATGACACAATCTTTAATTATATGATGATGAACTACTTGCTGGGGATAAATCAGAGTTACATAGTGTTTGGTGGCTGATAGAACTTTGCTCTTCTTGCAGAAACTGGAAAGTGGGTAGTTAATGAAGGATGAAATTGTAGGAATAGAGAGGATTGTTGTGGTCTTAGATGTGCGATTGTTGGTCTGAAGAAATGAATTCTCTGCCATGGTTTCTATGTAAAATGGGATACCTTTTCATGTGGATGCTGTAGAGAAACATCTGGGGAAGTAAATAGATCAGGTGGTGACATGGCAGATGATGTGGACAAATACAATACTAATTAACATTTGTTAAGTGAAAACTATGTTGAGTATTGAGACAAGTGTACTCTGGGGAAAAAATAGTACCTGCCTAAGGACTGTCAAAACCTTCTGTGCCTTCAATGTGGATGGCTTTTGTCCAAATAACAGCAGTTGATCTGAGAAAAGGTGTGTGTTTTATCCCCTTGTTCTAGCTCTCATAATTCATAGCCATAGGCGAAATAATTAAATTTTAAAAATAATCTTAAAACTTAACACTTTCAAATTTCAGAATGCCGTGTTTACAAATGTAATGTTCTATCCTTATAGACAAATATAGGTGTGAAGAATACAGTTCCTTCTCTTAATCTCTATTCTGAACACTTTTCCATGGAATATCTAAGGGAGTCGCCATTTCCTAGGATAAAAGCTGTAGGAGTTATAAATACTTATGAATACTTATTATAAAGCTGAGATGATCCCTAGGATTGAGAGGTAAAGAGAAGTGTAAAAATGGTAAAAAATTGCTTGAATTTTTAATTTAGCTATTTTAAGCCTCTAACCTGTATTTATTAATAACATATGTCTACGGTACAACACTTCAGTGGAGTTTAGAGGCACCCAGTCATCATCTCACAGTGAGTTAGCTCTGATGCCAGAAGCGAACTATCACTGTACCGCAGTGTTCTGTGTGAACACACTAAAATAACCTATGTAGAGTGCTCACTGTTTTACCTAGATTGTTACCATTATCCAAACTGGATTTTATGGGGTTCCTACATCTGCATTTTAATGATCACAGCTTTCTATTGATACATACTTTTATGTATCACAGTTTTTGCTCCAGTTTCACTGGATTTTGACTCAAATTTAATTTTATTTGTATTTTCCATTTCTATTAAATAACCAATAATTGAATTGAAGTCCTAGGTTTTTCCTCACAGATTTACAGCCTTTAAAGAATTCCCATATAGAGGAAGTCTATACTATCCTATTGCATGAATAAGTAAAATAATAATACAGTGCAGCTTTCTGAGTTCTAAGGTCCTAGGAAACTAAAACTATGGTGCTAGATTTTTACTTGTTGGGTTAACCGGTGCATTCAAAATGTTAATGCCTCCTGGTTCTTGTTTTGAACTCACCACTTACGGTGGGGCTCATCTTGGATTGATGTTATTTACTTTTCAGCTTTGTGATGATTTCAAATGATGCTGCAGGACAAAGACAAACTATTGTGCATATAACGCTCAATTCTCTTTGCCTTCTCCATGGTGACAGTCTGGGATAAAAACCATAAATGTAACACCCAAGCAAATTTGTACATTATTTTACCTAATATTGAGTAGGATTTGTAAGGTTTTATGCTCCAGCTGTCCTTGACACAGATGCATTAGGATTCTTCAGGCACATTCACAGCTAGATGATATTGTAACCGTAACAGTGTTTGGGATGTGAAGGGCTGTCATCTTTTATTGTCAGTGACTGCCTATGAAGTGCATGTGACAACAGGAGAGCTGTGGAATGCTGGGACTGAGGCTGATGTCTATATTTGTGTTTATGGAGAAAGAGGTGACACAGGATCAAGACAGCTGCTCAGGTCACAGAAACCCAGGAAATTTTTAAAAGGACAAGTAAGTAGCAAAGCGATCAGGCTTTCTTACTTCTTTTATTTGAGGAAACCTGTCTGTCTTGCTTTGTTCTTACCTTATAGCTGATATTTCAAAGGATGATCTTGATAGAAGAGTTCTATGAGTTTGTGGGTCTTTGGGATTGAATGGCTGGACAATGCTCTGCTTTTTAGATTTTACTGAAATATTGTTGGTTGCTTACAGACTGACATCTTTGCTGTTGAAGCCGTGCACCTTGGACAGTTGTACAAGATTGTTATAGGACACAATGGGCTCGGATCAGGTCAGAAATCTCTCTCTGTAGTCACTGAATACTACCTGCAAAGTTCTTCACCTTTTCTTTGAAATAAAATACGTATTTCTAAAACTGAATATATGAAAATATTTTAGAAGTGAAAGACAAAGGCTTCTGAGGAAACTGTTCAACTGATACAGTTACCTTGTTGTATCATTACAAATTTCAAATATTTTGTGTTCACTTTGTACTATCAACCATTACGTTAACGACACCATCTGCTACTGTTCTGTCATTTTTGGCTTATCCCTATGGAAAAACCGTGAAGAGGGAGAGCGTCTGCATGATTAGACATTGAATACGTCTTGTGGAGTCTGTGTTTTAGATAAAGTGGGCTGTTATAATTTTAGGTTTATTAGTATTGTCAGATCCACTGTAAAGATCCAGCTGGAGGTTTTGGCTATGCTATCTTGTCATTAGACACCCAATTAACGGGGAAACTCAAATTGCTTGCAGTCACAGGGCTTGTTTTTGAAACTCTTGTGCCTAAATGTAAAACATAGGAACTTGTTTTCTTGTTTTGAGCCGTGATAAACTGCTGTTGACCGGTGAAACAAATAACTCTGATAAAATGAGTGTGTTAAATGGGGGGTGGATATGTGCAGCACTCAGGGCCGTGACAGCCAGAGAGGGACCTCGCAGCTTGCAGGCACATAAGCAAGCTCTGCAGTACCTCGAACACGTGCTGTCTTCTCTCCAGCTATCAGGGCAGCTGCGACTCTAGCAACCTGCCAGGGGAGATGCAGATTTTGCAGTTCCAGCAGGAGAGAGAAAGCCATGGGAAGTCAGACTTCATTAAATCTGCCTTTCATGAACTAACTTTTTTTTTTTTAATTTATTCTAAGGAAATGGCTGGTTTCTGGGCAAAGTTGTAATCAAGGATCCTATAACAGATTTGGATTATACTTTTCTTTGTCACAGGTTGGTGGTGTTTCATTTGGGTTAGATTTTTAGTAAATCTGTAATTACTTGTAGTTTTTCTTCTGAAATGACCTGTCAAGGGCAATATGTGTTTCCTAAAAAGTAAGCTGAAATGGTCTGATTCTTTTTACAGCTCTCTTAGTTGCACCTGCCCCAAATCTCTGGTGCATTTGAGCTAATGAAAAAGCAATAAAAAGTTCTGCCTGGGAACAGTCCATTCTTGTGCCTTGTGAACTATTCAAGATGTGCTTTTTTGGATGCATTCCCCATATTCAACACCTTGGATCTAACACCAGCAGGTCCATCCATTCTTCCACGTCATGTGTTGCAAGGTTTTCCAGAAGAGTGGGTTGCTGTCTCTCTACCAGACCAACCCTACGTTACTGAAGTTAGTATGGGCTTCAGTGAGCTCAGGGTCAGACTTTAAGATCTTGTGAAATGGCTAGCACAAATGCAGTTTCCTGACCACATCTCTTTTTCTCATTTGCCTTGCAGCCTGTCGCTGAGCTGCAACGTAATTTGAAGCAATCCTAAATTCCCTGCCTTTTCCCCTGCAGAGGTTGCTGCTCTGAATCTTCTGTTCTACAGCTCATTTCTAATTTTACCTATGCCTGATTAATTTTCGACACCTGATAGAAAAATTATAATTGCTATAGATCAGTGCAAATATTAGGAGTGTTAAAGTCCAGTCACGTATGAATCTAGCTGCAGCTTGCCAGTGGCACCTCAATTCTATTTCCTCCTCTCACCTCTCCGAGTGAATAAATAACTGCCAGAGGCAGCTCGGAGTGAGCGATGTGCACACTGAAACTGATTTATGTCTGAGTAAAGGCTTTCTGCCTATCAGATACAGCACCTCGTCTTTGCCTGACCTAATTTTGATTCTGTATTCTGGATGAGATGAACTGCTATGAAGAGATCTATAATGCCAGCTTCATGCATAATTTAGGGAGAGTTCAAATCCATTTCAGGCAGGAAAATACAGGCTATGTGCTAGTTATTGTTAGAGCCTGGCGCCGTGCTTGCTGATCTTGCCCCCGCAGCACGTGAATCCTTTTGACTCAAAGGGAGTTTGACTTAACTTCCATAAGTAGATGCGAAGCAGGTACAATGACATTGTGATAGTATAGTTCAGACATGGTAAAATTGTTGCCTGGGTTGGGTTTGTCTTGTATAGGGATTTTCAGGGTATGGGTTCGTTTGCATCTGACTGTTTTAGCCACTGCACCTTTTGTTATTGATCTGGGATCAATATGAGGTCTCTGATTTGTAATAATTGGCTTAGAACTTCGTACCTCAGTCCAGGAAAGCATTTCTTTATAAGAATCATCAAGAAAAAACAAACAAGCAAAACCATTTTTGCCAAAGTCAATATTTTTTCACAAAACCTGCATTTTTGTCTTGTTGTTTGTCAGCCTGGAGACTTTAGTAAATAGAACAGGAAGCACCAGTATGGAAGTGCCACGTACCCAGTATTGTGGGAGTTGCCAGTCAAGGTTATGTTACTGAAATGTGTTCTGGTCTTTAGGTGGCTGGACCAGGGGCAGGATGATGGCAATATTGCTAGAGAACTGACTTTGACGGATGCCAGCACATTTCCAGGAAGTAGGTGAAAATTGGTGGGGAGGAGAACCCAGCCTCACCGCAACTGTGTCACCTGGAATGAGGGTGCTCTGACAATTGATTACACGGTTTTTATCTGTACAGGGCAAGAGCTGGAACTCAAGAGAGAGGAAACTGTAAGAACGTACCTTTTTATTTCTATTTAAACCATTCAAATTATGCTTTGAGTAAAATCAGATCACTTGTTCTCATGCATGTCAAATTCCTGTATATTGTCTTCTCATCAGTTTTTTTCTTGTTTAAAAAACTAGTGGGCTGCTGAAAAGTGGAAGTTTCAGGAAGGCAATACACTTCAGTTTTACAACAGGCTCACTCGTGGCTTCATTTGCCTCGGTCCAGATGGCAGAGTTGATGCTTTTGGTGACAAGAAAAACAAATATGGTAAAGTATTTTTCATGTGAATGTATGCATAAAAGATAAAAGAAAAGAGGACTTTATAGTTCACTGTGATCTCATATAGTGATTCCTGTAATGAATAGGAGTTGATGATTATAATAAGCATTTTCCTTACTTAAAATATTTACAAGTATCAATGACTATTATTATACTCAGAAATTTTATGCTTGGCTTACATATAAAGCACCAAAAAAAAAAAAAAATTAACATGGTATCTCGTCACTGGCTTTTGCTTACCAAATAGAAACTTCTTGTCATCTGCAATTTAATACTCCTATGGAACTACCATGGCAAGGACAGCTACAGCCTTTTGTAACTAGATCCATCTAAGCTAACAAGTTCAAATTTCCAGGTATAGTTTATTAATAGGGAGTCTACAAATTATATATATATATATGTATATAATCTCTTTTGTTCCATCCTTGTCATTGATTTTAGTTGCACTCCTCCAGTTCATCCTCTTTCTCAGCTTCTATCCTACTGTGTTACTAACACTTAACTATAATACTTATCGTATTAGGCACACATATTTTTTATATCTTTGTAGTGACGGAGCTGCTCAGCCTTTCTGACATCTTCCCAGGGATCTCACATGCGTCTTTTTTGGCGTGATAGAACAGAATCTTTCAGGACACACCAAAGAGTGCATGGAGAGCAGTGCCATGAATACTCCTTAGCACAGCCTATAAAGGCACTATGAATTAGTGCATTTCTAGTGGTATTTGTCTGACATAAACATGTGACATTTTTATTGCATTCTGTACCTTTCAGTACATTTTTACATGCTAGATGTAAAATTTATGTGAGTGTTATCTTCACAGTTTTCGATGAGTAATGCGTATAATTGTGCAAGTACCAAATCTGATGCACGGCTACTAAATGTCAGTTGTTAAAGATGACAAATATAATGTCAGAAAAATGAGTAGTGTGATTTACAGCCTCCCAAGGATTTAGTAATGCTTAGGAATTAAACTGGTAATTTAAAAGAGCTTGATTTTTCTGAACAATATGAGAAAATTGCCCTGATAGGAACAGTTAGTGACACAGGAACAACCGTGTATTTTTTTTATAGTCCAGAGTACAAAATAAACACAAGTACAAAATGAATGCAGACACCTATCATGCAGCTCTTCTGCCTTTGGAACAGTATCTTTCTCCTTTAAGTTGTTTCAGATTTGTTTGTTTCAATTACGTGCATAGTAAGTTACAAAGCATCTAGCACAGTCTAGCCATGTGCAACAGAAGTCCACAAGCACTGACTTGGGAACTGTTGTTTAAATTTTCATTTAGGGGTCCTACTTCCTTGTGCATACTTTGGAATAAAGTCCTCTGACATAAATTATCTACCTGTTTTTTCTAATAGAAAACTCTCAGTTTCAGGTACGGGTTGAACTGTTTATTTGTCTTTGGCAGATCTGAAGCTATATAATTCAAAAGCCTTCAAAGTGGTGATGACAAATTATATCAGATGATGATTTGGTCTAGGGTTTTTAATTTCTCAGGAAGCTTTAACCCTATCTAAAAGCAGAGACCCATTGTGACAGTTGTTTCCTCCCTGTCTTGCCCTGAGGACTAGAAGCCCAATCTCTATGTTATGACTTGTGGCATCATCCAAATGGGTGCAATGATCCTTGGCTGTATAATTCTTATGATCCCAATGACACCCTGAAAACGTTATGTTATGGACACCAAAGGAGTCCTCCAGAGACCCCTACACCAGCACAGTGTATTGGTAGAACAATTTAGAGAAATAAGCTGTTGCTGCTGAGAAGAGCAAAAATGGCCCTACTTTAGCTTTCATCAGTATTTTGTAGCTATGACAGGTAATTGTTTGGAAAATTGGGCAGATTTAAGATTTTAGAAGCCATGAGCTATGCTGCAAGATTTGCTTTGCAAATTCTTATATGGATACAGATAAAATTAATCCTCTCTTCCTACCTGAGGGCTTTGTGTTTCCTATACGATATGTTATTTATCATGAGCAACGTGGTCTAGTGGAAGGTGTCCCTGTCCAAGGCAGGGTGGCTGGAGCTAGAACGAGACGATTTTAAGGTCCCTTCCAACCCAAGCCATTCTATGGTGCTATAATCCTATGATGTAAATTCATTGCTATAGCCCAGTTCATTACACTGGAGTCCTCAGCTCCTTTTTATTGATTTTTTTTTTTTTTAAATATACGCTGATCTAGATAAATTTGTCGTTTATAATTCACTTTCAGGTTTTTTCTTCTCAAGGCAATGAAATAGACAGTAGTTTCTAGATGTCCTTTCCTGAAGGAAGGAAGGGATTCATTGATCAGAGAGGTCAAACAGTTGAGCTAAACACTTAATTCTTTTACCTTGAAAATTATGAATCGTCAATTGTAATTAAATGCAAATATGAATTAATGTAATCTAATACTTCTGAATGTTTTTCATTTATCTCTTAGGTATTTTTGATGTAAATGTCAAAGGAAGAAATATATGTATATTCAGCAGTCATCAAATGCCACGTCTTGCTCTTGCTCTTGTCAAGGGCCATGTAATTGGAAAGGTAGGAAATGCGGTTACTGATTACATTTCATTCATATATTACATTCATAATTACATTTCATTGTGATTATTAAAAATAATGCCATTAATTGTGTCTCCAGTCAGATAAAGAGCTAAGAATTGCAGAAATGAACCCAGGAAATTGCCAACGAATAGGCAAATTTAGACAGAGGGCTTTGTCTGTTTGCTCACAATTTAGTTTTTACTCTTTGGTAGGATTTTTTTAACAGACTAAGTGGTTTGACGCAAGAATACCAGACGACTCCAAGCTGCATTCTATATTGGCTTGCCACATGTTGACAAGGTCCTGGAATGCCTTCATATCTTGTTGACATGCCTCAGGGACAGGAAGCCATCCAGAAGGACCTGGACAAGCTCAAGACATTGGCCCATGTGAACCTCATCAGGTTCAAGAAGGCCAAGTGCAAGGTCCTGCACCTGGGTTGGGACAACCCTCAGTATCAATAGAGGCTGGGGTATGAAGGGATGAGGGCAGCCCTGAGGAGGACTTGGGGGTACTTGTAGATGAAAAGCTGGGTATGAGCCAGAAATGTGCTCTTGCAGCCCAGAGAGCCAGCTGTACCTTGGACTGCATCAAAAGAAGCAGTAGCAGCAGGCTGACTGTTTTTGTGGCCCTCCTCTGAACTCGTGAGGTTCTCCCCCTCTGCTCTCTTGAGCCTCCACCTGGAGTACTACATCCGGCTCTGTGGCCCCCAACGCAAGAAGGACGCTGAGCGGTTGGAGAGGGTCCAGAGGAGGACCATGAAGATGATCGGAGAGCTGGAGCACCTCCCCTATGAGGACAGGCTGAGAGAGTTGGGGTTGTTCAGCCTGGAGAAGAGGAGGCTTGGGAGGAACCTTACAGCAGCCTTCCAGTACTTAAAGGGGGGTTGTAAGAAAGATGGGGACAGAGTTTTTAGCAGGGCCTTTAGCAATAGCGTAAGATGTAATAGTTTTAACCTAAAAGAGAGTAAATTTAGACTAGATGTAAGGAAGAAATTTTTTATGATGAGGGTGGTGAAACACTGGAACAGGTTACCCAGAGAGGTGGTAGATGCCCCATCCCTGGAGGTGTTCAAGGCCAGGTTGGATGGGACTCTGAGCAACCTGGTCTAGTTGATGTCCTTGCTCATTGCAGGGAGGTTGGACCAGATGACCTTTAAAGGTCCCTTCCAACCCAAACTATTCTATGATTCTATGATTTCCTTTTTTTTTGCTAATTATAAGTTCTAAGGATTGGTTTTAATTACCCATTTTTCTTTTGTGTCTTTTTCTAAGTATCATGCCTGTTATAAGCCAACGGAAATGTTCCATATTTGTTTTGATCCATTTTGATTTGTTTCATCCCTTCCTCAAAGTCTTATAATTGCCTTTCTTTCTCACTACTTGCAGTATACTATAGCCAAATGGAGTTGTAGAAAATATTTCTTTCTGATGACTCTTCTGCTGATGAGGGAAAAAGCTGTTTCCCTTTCACTTTTTTGAGTTCTTGCCTTTATTTATCCAGTGAATAATTTCATAGTCAAAGCTGGACCCATTCGTCTTTTATATGCTGTGCATTGGCATTAGTGGGAATAGAGTATTCTCAGTAGATTTAGTCTTAAAAATGCTGAAAAAATGTTAGATTATGTATGCCAGAAGTCTTTTAAATTATTGGGTTGATTATTAGCTTTTTACATTTATTAAAATTATTTAAACATGAGAATAATGATGGAGTTAAATATTTTATTAACTATGTATTTTGTATAGTGTCTTTTATACAATGGGATCATGCAGTTTGCTAACCTGAACAGACAAGCATGTATAGTGTGTTGCTGTACTTTCTTGTAAATCTTCTGACTCCTTAATTGTTTTCTGTGAGAACAGCAAAAGTGAATGAGGAGAAAGACCTGTTACTGTAGTTCATTTCCTGTGTATGATAATTTTATATTCCAGCCTTCTTTGCCACATTTGTAGGCTGAGACTCTAACTCTCTGATTGAGGCATCCAGGTGTCTTTCACGTTATCCTCAGATCTGTGTCATCTGAAGATGAACTGTTTCTCTGCTTTGAAATTCCAGAGTCCACAATTTTAGGACTTTGGTATCAGGACTGCAAATCTGAAAAATATAAAGACTTTTCATACTAGGCTGGTAATATTGTGGAAACTTGAACAATGCAGAATCTATATTGTGATACTCTCTGTTCTGGATTTTGCCATATCTAGTACTTTGTATAATTTGTTATGCCTATTTTGACTTTGTTAGAGCAAAGACAAGACTTGCTGTGAGCTCTGTGTTCACTTTCAACCCAACGGTTGTGCCATTCTTGAGTCGGCCAGGAATCCAGGTCACACTGTTACGTTCAATCTTGAAGGCAAAGCACCTGATGAAACAACAGGATATGCTGGACTTTCCAAAGAATTTGTTGTGCATGTCAAGGTAAGGTGGGCAGAGAGAAATTAAGACAACTCTTCTGAAACTTACTGTTATAAAGCAGATTGTATCTATTCAAATGCCAGAGGATTGCAAGCTCAAAGTGATCCTCTTCCACCAGGTGGAGCTAAACTACAGCTTTCCAGGTAGGCGGCACTGGAGAAATTTTCCTTTACGGCTCTTTTGGGGTGAGCGACGCTGAAGCTGCAGCTGGTGTATGCAAATTGGGTGGGTTTTGCACAGAAAAGATGGAGCTCCAAACTTTTTAGTAAACCTTCGAAGAGTAGGAAGGTAGGTACATCCAGGAGAGCTGCACGGGAAAGCACTTATTTTGAAAAGAGAAGTTCCTTAACTTGCCGTGCTCCTTGTGCTGCGCTGATGAACGATAAAAAGCAGAGAAAGTGCAGAGTAGGGAAGGATTTCCACCATCCAGGTTAGTGCCTGCACAGAAAGCAGCAGATATTATGAGGCTGGAAGTATACTTGAATTACCTGGGACTTATTCATTTACATTTTACACATGGAAATGCATTAATTAGTGCTTAAAGTAGGTCAGTATGAGCAATATGAATCTCAAAGTTTAACATGGAGAAAAGCTGTGCTATTCACAAAGGACTTCTCGTCTCTGATCTGAAGGGTGTGTTTCACCATGGTGCCATCGTTCTGCTCAACACAAGTCTCTGCCAGGCTCTGTCCCTTAGACCTGACGGGAGCTGCAGTGGAGCAGGTCAGCAGCAGCAAGAATCCTACTGGAAGGTGCATAAAATTCACTCTGGAGTCTGCATGTTTGAAAGTGTGAGAAACCCCAGAATGTATCTGAAGATCAAAGATGACCAGTGTAACGGAACAGTAAGCAGTTCTTGTTTGTATATCCCTCTGCAGATAGTTCGAGTAAATTGTGATAGCAGAGAATATTTTTTTACTTGCTCAGATAAAAATGGGATAAAACATTGTTGAGATTTAAATTTTTTCAGACTTTTTCCTTCAATTGCCCAAGGAAAGGTAGAAAAATGTAGCAAGGGAAGCTGTCATGTCTATTTTGGCACTTGACTGTAAAGACCTGATTATATTTTTAAATTATTGAGAATGTGGATGTAGTTAAAATTTATTTGTTGCTAGATAGCTGGTGACTCTCTGTCAAGATTCTGTTGTGCTGCTTTGATTTTTATTTAACAACCACAATTATACTGGTGTGAGTTTGAAAGATGTTGTAGTGATGTTGGCATCCTAGCTTTTACAAATGATTCTGTTTTGTCTGAAATGAAGAACCTTGATATGTTTTTTTTTCTTCATCAGGCAACCACATTGAGTTTATTCTTGAAATACTTCACCAGTAGCCTGTATGTTTAGTGATAAAACTAGACTTGGGTGATGGTTGAAATATTCTGACTTTTGGACCTATAATATTCTCCACCTACTAGGAATTTCACTATTGCAAATTTACATTTGAGAGCAAAAAAGAGAATGAGACATTAGTATTTGCTCATTAGACTCAATGTTTACTAATCCTGCGTCTGTTTGCTGATATGAACTGATATAATTGTTTTGAATGTGCCAGAGCACAAACATGTTCAGGGGTTTAAAGTGGTATTGAGTCTAAATAAATTGATGATAAAATCCACTAATGAATAATTAAGATATAAGTTGATTAAGTGGGAAACTCCTTTGAATATACCCTAGACTTTGCCTAAATTCTAACAGAAATCAAAATGCTTTCGTATGCAATCTTTCGCTTACTCAAATTATGTGATTGATCTTTCTGTTCACAAAGAAATAAGTAGGGCCAAGATATGTACATATATGTGTGTGAGTAGCAATGTAGGACATTGTAAAGAGTCTAAAACGAATCTGAAATGCTATTAGAAGTTAGTAATATTTAAGTCTTAAGAAACGTCCAACTTGCCTCGCTACATCAATTCAATTGTTGAATTCACTTTTTTTTTTCCATTTCCTAGGGCACAGGTGATGACTACTGTCACTTTAAAATTGAGAAGAATTTGGAAACTGGATCTGTAAGTCTAGAATCAGTGCGAAATAGAGGGATATATGTTGGTCTCCTGCCGGATGGCCAGACTAAGCCAGTCTTTAACACTGGAGAGAGAAACATATTTTTCTACCCACAGGTCATCAAATGTATGTAATTTCTTAATATTCTACAGTTTGCTTTAGTGATTAGCATTTCTGAATGACAAATTCACAGCAAAACTGTAAAAACTAGGTTGACACTATTTACTTTGTTTTGTTTCAGTAATTTTAAAGCTGAAATCTTTACTGTGCCCACACTTAATTTCCTCTATATAGCTAGCTAATTTTACTTCATTTCTTTCTTTTTACAACAATAAATGATGCAGAAGAAATCTACTATTTTGCTGGACAAATAAACTTTTGAGCATAAGAATCAAAACAGGTGACGAGTTAGAGATGGAGTTGACTTCCTGGATCTATTCCCCACTCTGACCACAGATTGGGGAAGCCTGGGAGATGTTGTCTTGCTGTCAGCTATACCAGTCTTTCCTGATTTTATAGTAGACGTTAGAGAGGGCCTGCTTGGGCTTGGCAGTGTTCAGCTTCTTTTTTAACGGTATGAAATAGATTGTACTTCCCCCAGTGGTCTGTTGGTTAACAAACACAGCCAACTGACTTGGATTCCAACTGCAGGAAGCAGTGGGGTCGCAGTACTTGTATTCTCATCTGGTAGACACAGCCACAGAGGCCAAGAAATGAAACATCTCATGAAAACGCCAAACTGGCCATCAGTTCAAAGGTGAGAATGCAGTCAGATTTTGGCCAGACACAAGCAGAACAGGGTCATCTTGAATGCTTTGACCAGCAAAGTGGAAGTATCAAAACACGCAACCAGTCTTATTATTAATTGTTCTATGGGTATTGTAACCAAGCTGTACAGAAGCATTATGAAAGTCACTGTAACGGCATCCCTACCGTTCAGTCCCTACTTGCTGCAAGGTGACAAGCATATTTTGGTCACTGTGTCTTTGTAGAAACAAAGAAAGTGTTTCCTTTGTTACTTTTTGGAAGAGCAGGGTCTTCAATGGAAATTCTCAACAAAGCAGGGCTTACTGGTGCCATTAGAATAAAGCTAAATGTTACTTCTTTACAAGCTTGAGTTCTCCTGAATCCTTGTTATTCTGTAAAAGGAAGATAAAAGAAGCTAATAGTTTCTGTGACAGCAACCAAGATTGTCTGCTTGCCACTTCATATTATCAGAAATGGCCTCTAGCAGTTTTCATTTCAGCGTTCCCACTTTTAAGAAAGGAAATATCAGGGAGGTGGAGAAGCTTATCTAGGGGAAAACTGCATTTTAACAAGTAATTTCATTCATACATCGATGTTAAATTGTTACTTAGATTTCCAAACAGTAAATGAACTTTTATTGGTATGCCAGATTTTTTCCACTTTATGTGGCATGTTGCTACAAGTGAAAACTAACACTAACTAGTGACTGTGCAAATACATAGAGAAAAGATTTTGCTGTCTGCTGTGTTGAACAGTTGTGAAATCCATGTTTGTCACTAAACATACGGGAAGTTTCTGAGCAACAAAAACCAAACCATTTGGAGCTAGTGACGAAATTTACATTTCATTGTTTCAGTTGGCCGGAAAGAGCCTATGGGAACATCTGCAGCACCCAATCAAGAGAAGGAGGACTTCAGAGAATCTCAGTTCCAACCAGGAAAAGTCCCCAAGCCAGTATCTCAAAGCCTTTCGACTCTTCCACCCTCAAGTAAGCCACATTTTTCAAACTAGTTGTGATATAATATTGTGTTATGTCTGCCCTCCATGCACATCTGCAGCGACTTGCCTCAGGAAGGACCATGAATAGCTTTTCTAGACTATTTTGCATGCATACATGCAATGTGAAACGTGTTACTTGTTATTGGTTTTTAAAAGGGGATTGGAATATGGTTTCTTGATAAGGCAACAATCAGCATGTAACTGTTGAATAATTTCACATTACCTTTTGATTTTCAAGTAACTAGCCAACTACCATAAGGACCATTTCTTTAGGAATTAAGGGATTGATATGATACAGAGCCCAATCCAAAGCTCACTGAAAGTCATGGAGTATTTCTCATTTATGCTTTCTCTCGCCCTTAGGTTTTCTGCTTTATGATTCACTGGGGGAC